TGAGGAAGTGAAGATGCAAGAGTGGAGTTAGCGGTGGGGTTGATGGTTATTTTTGTGGGTCTTATTTTTTCGGGAGTTTTATTTTGTTTCTAAACAATTTTTGCAAAAAAAATGTAATAGCATGATGATGATTTTTTACATTGTTGAGGTATTGATTCATCCCATGCTAACTCCACCAGGGGGGGCTCCATGGGGACCATCTTGGATTTTGCTGTAATTTTAACCAAATACACCTAGGCCTAGGGATATTAGGGAAAATCCCAAAGTTTACCTTCATTGTAGCAATATGGATACCATCAAAAACCAAAATATATGGGGAGAGTATCTTTTTAGTTGTTTTTGTTTGCATTGCATGGTTACCCTTTTGAACTTTATTGGGAAAAATGCTAATTCTTTTAGTTTTAAAATTTATGTCAATAGCAATACTTGTTTTTAAATAGTGGAATAATGATCTCTTACTTTATAGTATAAAACCAAATACTTTAGACCAAAATCCCACAAACACACTTTTTGACAGATTTATAGAAAGGGGCCCTTCTACTACAACCCAACTTTTTTTTTTATTAAGCTTTGACCTGGAGTTGTGTAACGCTTGTGTTATGGCCAACCCACTGGCCACAGACCATACTGGTTCATTTACTTTTGTACTTTGGCCTATTAATGATTCTGTTATTTTTGTGTAAGTCTAATGCAAATAGACACAGGCACCTCGGTAATAAAAATCAAAGTTTACTTAATTTAAGTACTGATATAAATATTTTTATCATTTACACCTTTGGGTTGCGTGCATTACGATGTGTCATTATGGAGCAAGCTTTGCTCATTAATTGATTCTTGACCTGCAGTTTGATAAAATAATCTTGTGACCCGCAGTTTGATAAAAAAAATCTTACAGCAGCAAGTTTTCTGTCCTGTGATTGGCCAATAATAACAATGAATTATACCAAACAACAAGGGTATTTTAGGGTTTGAAAAGGTAGGCTAGGTTTGATTATGGTGCTAGCTTTGATAATGTATTGGCAAAGTTTTATTGGAACTTCGATCAATACATTAGTGATTAAGAGCATGTAAACCTATTTACTTACTTGATACTTGAGTTTTGCCGTCTCTTGCAAGAGTACACTTGGCCGACATTGATTGGTAGTTTGAAACTTTTGCAGATTATGGAGCTTTCGATTGCACGACGACGGTAGGACGTAGAACGTAATGACGTCACTAAAAGTCATCGGCGCATGCAAGAACATTAGGGTCAAATCGTCGAGCAGATTCTGGAATGCAATTTGGTCAAATCATGGAGGTATTATTGAGGAGATCACTCGGCAAAGCTACGCGCACGCAGCGCTATGCAAATGAACCAAGGTCAAAGTTGCCGCAGCGCATAAAGAACGTTTGCGCGATGCCTTTGAAGTCCCATGTGTTCCCCGCCATCAAATTTTCAGCAGGCATTGTTGACCAAAAAATTGAACATGAAGAAATGGAGAGCACCTTCTTTTCTCAATGTGCACTACATACTGTCAATCACTATGGCTGCGCAATCTTTTCTATTTTGAAGCTGATACATTTATCTCTCATAAAATATCAAACATACTGTACTAATATTTTCCACCAAGAAAAATTTCGAATTTAATGGAACATTTACATGACCTATAAAATTATAGTATATTTCAACTTCAATTTTCATAAATTGGCCAAAATTCGCCAATTTTAATTTTAACAGATATTAATTAATAATGATTAAGGATTATAATAAACTAAGTCATTTTAGGGTTAACGAGGGTTAACTATTCGAAAAATTAATCCAAAATCTGAGTATTTTTCAGTTTTACGCTGACTTAGCTTTATAGTCGAACCAGTCAATATTTAGACAAAATTATAATGAACACAGAAGTAATTTTAACATAAATATTTTACGGAATCCGTTCCTGAAATATCAAATAATAACATACCAAAAGCCCGAAAAAATCTAATCAGTGGAACATTGTTCATTATAAAGATATTATAATGGGTTAAAATCAAACGTTTTATTGCACAACTGCTCTGCTGGAAGCGTATAAATGCATGTCGTTGCCAAGTTGCTGCTAACAAAAAAATGTGAATTATAGGGTAATGGGTAATACGCCCGCGCGCGATCCAAAAGCGGGGAACACATAGGAACACATAGGTTTGTCGCGTCAAAGGGATCTGTTTCCGAGTGATCTCCTTCTCAATAATACCTCCATGGTCAAATCAACGTATGCAGAGAACATAGGTTGCCAGGCAGGATGGTCACGCATGAGGTGATTATGTTCTAGCGTCGCACCATCGCACAAATTGATAGCTCGTCAGACCCTAGTATTTGTTCTTCCTTGCACAATTTGAAAACTGCAAAGAGGATTCCTTGCACCATTTGAAAATGTACTGCAAGATTTTGAGGAAGTGAAGATGCAAGAGTGGAGTTAGCGGTGGGGTTGATGGTTATTTTTGTGGGTCTTATTTTTTGGGGAGTTTTATTTTGTTTCTAAACAATTTTTGCAAAAAAAAATGTAATAGCATGATGATGATTTTTTACATTGTTGAGGTATTGATTCATCCCATGCTAACTCCACCAGGGGGGGCTCCATGGGGACCATCTTGGATTTTGCTGTAATTTTAACCAAATACACCTAGGCCTAGGGATATTAGGGAAAATCCCAAAGTTTACCTTCATTGTAGCAATATGGATACCATCAAAAACCAAAATATATGGGGAGAGTATCTTTTTAGTTGTTTTTGTTTGCATTGCATGGTTACCCTTTTGAACTTTATTGGGAAAAATGCTAATTCTTTTAGTTTTAAAATTTATGTCAATAGCAATACTTGTTTTAAATAGTGGAATAATGATCTCTTACTTTATAGTATAAAACCAAATACTTTAGACCAAAATCCCACAAACACACTTTTTGACAGATTTATAGAAAGGGGCCCTTCTACTACAACCCAACTTTTTTTTTTATTAAGCTTTGACCTGGAGTTGTGTAACGCTTGTGTTATGGCCAACCCACTGGCCACAGACCATACTGGTTCATTTACTTTTGTACTTTGGCCTACTAATGATTCCGTTATTTTTGTATAAGTCTAATGCAAATAGACACAGGCACCTCGGTAATAAAAATCAAAGTTTACTTAATTTAAGTACTGATATAAATATTTTTATCACTTTCACCTTTGGGTTGCGTGCATTACAATGTGTCATTATGGAGCTTTGCTCAGTAATTGATTCTTGACCTGCAATTTGATAAAATAATCTTGTGACCCGCAGTTTGATAAAAAAAATCTTACAGCAGCAAGTTTTCTGTCCTGTGATTGGCCAATAATAACAATGTTATACCAAACAACAAGGGTATTTTAGGGTTTGAAAAGGTAGGCTAGGTTTGATTATGGTGTTAGCTTTGATAATGTATTGGCAAAGTTTTATTGGAACTTTGATCAATACATTAGTGATTAAGAGCATGTAAACCTATTTACTTACTTGATACTTGAGTTTTGCCGTCTCTGGCAAGAGTACTTGGCCAACATTGATTGGTAGTTTTTCCAGTAGACTTCACAGCTTAAGGTTAGTAATATGTTAGTGGTTTTCATAATTTTAAAGGAAGAGAGATCACTATGGCTGTAAAATTTTTAGACCACTAAATTAATTTTACTTGAAAAAATGCTTAACAATAATGTAAAAATTATAATTATTTATTGTATTTTACTATTATTATTATTATTATTAATATTATTATTATTATTATTATTATTATTATTATTATTATTATTATTATTATTATTATTATTATTGATTTTTACTTTAAATGGCTTGGGCAAAGCACTCTTTAATGAATTGGTTTAGAACTGTCAACCTGACAGTTAATGCTGAACCTATATGCGATGGCTCGGCCTTGAGCATCAAGTAAATACTGTAGGTTGTCCTTTGCATTTGTTTGAAACTTTGAAGAATGTTAGCATTTTGCAAGCATTGTCATTCTCCATTCTGATACAATGAGTGATCCACTTCATTTGTTGATGCTTGTAAAATAGATTGATTGGCTGTGTTTGAGTAAGATTAAAGAGTGTCTCATTGTTGATCATGTATCTCCAGTCAACCTCAGTAGTATCTTACAATCATCAGATTGACCTTCATCAAACATACAATCAGTGATGTACAAGTCAATACTTGCACCACATTTTAATTATTGCAATGTTGTGTGGGGACAATGTATTCAAACTCTACAATATAAAATTCAAATATTACAAAACAGGGCTGCAAATGTCTCAAGATTTATTTCGAGTTCAGAAGCACTCACAAACATAAACTGGAATAATTTAAACACCAAACTGTATCAAGATGAAGCTATAACCATGTTTAAAATAATGAATTCTCAAATGCCAGCTTATTTACAAAACAGATTTCAAGAGTGCAATACATGACCAGGTTAAGGATTTACTTGAGGTACACAAACCAAGTACTGAATATAAGAAAAGAAGTTTTTCCTATCAGGGAGGCAATTGTCTTGAATAACCTAAACCTCAATATGAGAATGGCCCCAAATGTTCATACTTTTAAAAAACTATTACAAATCATATAAAAGTTTCTTGCATTAAAGGTAATATTTTTTGTTCTGTTTTGCTTTTGTTTTTTTAAGTCTTTTGTCTTTGTAATTGTTTTTTTTTTTTTTTATGTTAATACTTTTTTTTTAACGGCCTTGTGAAAACACATTTAATTTGTGATCAAGTTTTCCGTTTTCAAATAAAGTCATTATTATTATTATTATTCCTTGCTTGAAGTTGAACTATACTTAATATTAAATATATTCGCCCCCATAATAGGGAATTCAAATCTCCAAGCCTCTGGCAACCTTATAAAACAAATTATTACAAATTAAATAAACGTGCTGCGACAATACCTAAAATATATATTCATTAATAGACTCATGTTTCCTTTTTTTCTTTTCTCTAAAATGCATAGTAAATAAATAACCTACTTTTCTAATAATATTACTGTTTTGCAAGGACATAATTTGATGAAATTTTTCATTTATTGGAAAGTTAGTATAATATGGTGGGAGATATGTTTTTCTTAAATCAGTATATTTTGAAAAACAAAAAAAAATTAATCTCATCTTCAATGCTACCATCATGACAAATACAAAGTCTATTTTATAATCAACATTGTTTTTACGCCCCTTTTCAATTTAAAGACTATGATTTGATATACGAGAAGAAGTCATTAACAATTTAAAATGCGCTTTTATATTCATTGAGAGATAAGATTCAGTTTCAAAAGTACGTTTGAATTTAACGTATTGTTTTAATTTACTTGAGTTATTTATACTGCTAAACCAATTTTGCTCATCTATGTAATAGCATCGTTTGTTAAAATTATGAAATGAAAGCTGTTTCATCACCCACCCCTTGGTTCATCCAGACTTCCCCATATCCATAATGAAACAAAAGAGACCTATGCAACTTGCCCAGCAATCACTGTCATTATCGATAAATCTTAACTTGTTCCACATTATGCATTATGTACCAATCTCTCTCTATCCAGTTTTATAATTCTCAACCAATATTTCATCATTCTTGTCAATCTTTTAGATATAGTCGACCCAGTTTGCCTCTAATGGCTGTAATCTCTGAATTTCTTTTTTGTCCTAGTACAAATTTACAAAATTTAACATGGATCTTTTCAATGCTTTCATCCTTTTTGTAGCCCCAGACCTCACTCCTATAGTCAAGAATAGATTTTAGTTTAATATCAAAAATTTTAAAATATATGTCAATTGATAAATTACCCATAGACATTTGTATTTTCCATGATTGCGTACATAGACTTAGACGCCTGTTCTGCCAGGGTTTTTTGTGTAAGCCTATTGCAAATAGACACATGCACCTGGGTATAGAAAATTCAAGGTTTACTGATATGAATATTTTTTATCATTTTCACCTTTGGGTTACGTGCATTATGATGTGTCGTTTATGGAGCAAGCTTTCGCTCAGTATTTGATTCTTGACCTGCAGTTTGATTAATATCTTACAGCAGTGAGTTTTCTGGCCTGTAATTGGCTGTAATAATATAATGTCATAACGAACAACAAGGGAATTTTAGTTTTAGATAAAGGCTAGGTTTGATAATGTTGGTAGGTTTGATAATGCTTATTTATATTGGAAAAGTTTTTTTGGAACTTAGGTCAATACATTCATGATGAAAAGCATGTAACCTACTGAAGTATTCACTTGATACCGTCTCTTGCAAAAAGTACATTTGGCCATCATTGACCATTAATTTTACCAATTGACTCCATGACTTAAGGGCTGTAATATGCTTGTGATTATTATAATTTGAAAGAAGAGAGATCACTATGGCTGTACAATTTTTAGACCACTGAAACTTAACAATAATGTAAGAATTATTAATATTTTAATTAATGTATTTTATTATTATTATTATTTTAAATTAAAATGGCTCAGGCAAAACACTCTTTAATGAATAATGAATTGGTTTCTGTCAACCTGACTATATCTTCACCTTCATCATTAGTTCATTATCATTACTGCCAAGGGGTTTGCAAGCGCTGATTCAAAAGTGCATTAAAAGGTATGAAGTTTACTGTGTTTAATTTGTTTTGTTCAAGTGTAATTGTAATTTAACTATTATTGTTATTTATTTTTGATTTGTTTTATAAACACTTCTGTTTCTGTTGTAAGAACAATTTGTGGCTTAAGGCAATTTCATTTTGCAATTTCCCTTGGATGAACGAGAATTTGTGCATATGTGCACCCCTGTGTACAGGTTCTGCATTTACACTGTACTTTGGTCTGCTAATGATTCTGTTATTTTTGTGTAATCCTAATGCAAATAGACACATGCACGTGGGTAATAACAATCTAGTTTTACATGATTTAAATATTGATATAAATATTTTTATCATTTTCACCTTTGGGTTGCGTGCATTACGATGTGTCATTTGTGGAGCAAGCTTTCGCTCAGTATTTGATTCTTGACCTGCAGTTTGATTAATATCTTACAGCAGTGAGTTTTCTGGCCTGTAATTGGCTGTAATAATAATAATGTCATAACGAACAACAAGGGAATTTTAGTTTTATATAAAGGTAGGCTAGGTTTGCTAATGTTGCTAGCTTTGATAATGCTTATTTATATTAGAAAAGTTTTTTTTGGAACTTAGGTCAATACATTCATGATTAAGAGCATGTAACCTACAGCAGTATTTACTTACTTCATACTTGAGTTTTGCCGTCTCTTGCAAAAGTACATTTGTCTGTCATTGACCATTAAATTTACCAATTGACTTCATAGCTCAAGGGCTGTAAGATGCTTGTGATTATTATAATTTGAAAGAAGAGAGATCACTATGGCCATACAATTTTTAGACCAATGAAACTTAATTTACTTGAAAAAGTACTTAACATTAACAATAATGTAAAAATTATTATTTTAATTAATGTAATTATTAATATTTTAATTAATTGTATTTTATTATTATTATTTTACATTAAAATGGCTCATGAAAAGCACTCTTTAATAAATAATGAATTCAAATTCAATCTCACTATATCTTCACCTTCATTAGTATGTGACGAAAAGTCCTTTAAGGAACCATTACTGCCACAGGATTTGCAAGCGCTGATTCAAAAGTGCATTAAAAAGTATGAAGTTGACTGTGTTTAATTTGATTTGTTCAAATGTAATTGTAATTTAACTTGTTTGTTATTTAATTTATATTTGCTTTATAAACTCTTCTGTTTTTGTTCAATTTGTGGCTTAAGGCAATTTCAATCTGCAATTACCCTTGGGATGAAGAATTTGAGCATACAGTATGTGCACCCTTGCATACAGGTTTCGCATTTACGCTATACTTTGGTCTACTAACAATTCTGTTATTTGTGTGTAATCCTAATGCAAATAGACACATGCACGTGGGTAATAACAATCTAGTTTTACATGACTGATGTAAATATTTTTTATCATTTTCACCTTTGGGTTGCGTGCATTACAATGTGTCATTGGAGCAAGTTTTTGCTCAGGATTTGATTCTTGACCTGCAGTTCGATTAATATCTTCTAGCAGTGAATTTTCTGGCCTGTGATTGGCCATGATAATAATTGTTATAGCATACAACAAAGTTATTTTAGGGTTAGATAAAGGCAGAGAAGGTTTGATAATGTTGCTAGGTTTGGTAATGCTTATTTGTACTGTATAGGCAAAGTTTCATCGGAACTTAGATCAGTACGTTAATGAATAAGAGCATGTAACCTATCGACGCTAATGAAAAATGCATGTACGCAAATGACCATTTATGTATAGACCTAATTTTTTCGTTGCAGCAACTATTCAAATTAAAAATGTGTGTGCAAAATATCAGGATTTACCCAGTAATACTTAAATAATATTTCCGCCTTAACAATTATCTGAATGAGATACCGACCTCGGTTAGTTAATGAAAATACTTTACTGATATGCATAGGCCCCCAACATTTGTCCGGCCCATGACATGTCGTTACGCCACTGCGGGGCATATGACTTAATAGAAGTGTTTACCTTAAATACCGTTTTCAAATCATCAGATGTACAGTAAATTACCATTTAGTATTGACAATCTGTTTCTTCAATTAAAAGACTTGTGAAATATAGCTGGAATATGATGTTTTAGGATCATCATTACCCAATAAAAAGATGTGCCAAATTTGGAATCTGAAAAAATGTCGGCTTCATCAAGTAATTTATGGATTTCTATGTCCTTACTGCAAACCTGCCAGAAATTAATGAGGTAAACAAATCTGCGTTGTGACATCATTTGTGCCTGAATTCAGGTTGCATAATCTGATCCACACAAGTCCACGCTGGGAAAACCTATGCGCAAGCAAAGTGGTAGTTGTGTACAACAAACTTCAGCCGTGTTTTGTATCTGCCACGTCGAGTGTCAATGTGCTTGTTTTACGTTTTGGTTCGGCACAAATGACGTCATCAGCTAATTAGCATATTATTTACTATGAATACCTGAACAAACTGGGCAATGCTATAATATAGTCTCTTTTAATTGCCCTAAAATAGCATGAAAAGTGCTATTTTTAAGGTAAAGAGATTATACTGTATATATATTTTTCTGGCTATATTTCACAAGTTCCTGCAAACCTGCTCACGACTCAATGCAAAAGTTTGGCAACCCATTTTTGGGTTGCGACCTATATACACTATATAATAGGCCTACTGTACGTACTACAAAAGTTGCACAACTTATCAATCAATAATAATCAATTAATGTTCAATTTAATATAATTTCTTTTATTATAATTCTAGCCTTGGTGTGGCCTAGGCCTAGAGGCTATGGTTAGCCTCAAATAGCGGCCCAGCAGCAGGCTACGGCAAGGTTGGTCCCAGGCTAGGCCGATGAAACTATCAGATTCCTATAGTAATTGGTATTTTTATTTAGTCCAGTAGTATGTACAGTACTAGTGGTAAATCCTTAAAAAATGAATTTATTCTTATTTCTTCAGTTGTAGCTACTGACACACATAGCCTATCTTTTATCATTGACAATTTTTCAGAATGCTAAATCATCGGAATTGCCGTATATTTCGCAAAAAATACACTTAGGGAGTGGTTTGAAATGTGTTTGTCAATCTCAGTCTATATTGATTTAGGGTAGATGCATTCACAATCTCATCTGGCATTTGTTCCAGTCGTTGATTGCTCTTCTATATGAAAAAGTCAGATGCTTTTTATTTATCAGTTCCTATAAGAATCATGGGCGGATTTGGGGGGGGGGGCTGGCCCCCGGTCCCCTTTTGGGAGGTGAGAAGAAAAGAAGAAAAGAAGAAAAAAGAAAAAAATGATAGCCCATACAAATGTTATTTTCGGGCGTCTAAAACACAAAAATTTCTGGACCCCCTAGAACATTGTTGTCTCGATCGGCCCAAATTTCGTCACCCCTTTCGGCCCCCCCCCCCCCACCTTTTGGACATCTCTGGATCCGCCCCTGAGAATCTTGTAAATTTGAATGATATCGGCTCGTTTTTTTTTTTCTGTATGCAACAGTTGGAAGCTAATAATCGTGTGCATCATTGTTGTACTTCTTTCAACGCTTCGCCATCCTTTTAAGAAAATGGACACCAGACCGAATTTCCATATTTCAGTGACAGTCGAACTAGAGTCTTGTATAAAGTTCAGCATTCCTTTTTTGTTTAAAGATGTAAATGATCTCTTGATGATTTAATTTGTATTAGCTCTTTTAGGCAGCATCAGTCACATTGGGAGAAAAATTAACTTTGGTATCAATAAGTACGCCCAGATCTCTTTCTTTATCAGCAGTTTTTAATGGAAATCTTTGGGAATGTAACTGCCATGATTAGGCAGACCCTTCATTGAAAATCATGAAAAAAAAAGCAAAGAATACAAAACTGACATTCAGCATAGACATACAGTACCTGTTGGGAGCCTGTTGTCCAATGATGTTGTTTGTGAGTGTATGTGACTTAAGCTTAGAATGATTTGATTTACATTAACGCAAACCTTGACTTTCTCACTGCCACATGTATTCATTCTCAGTATTGCATTTTTTTGGGGGGTGGGGGTGGGGGTAGCTGAGGACAAACTACCTTATCCTCTAAAGGCCATTATGTTTTATCATTCAAACAGCTTGTGTACAAGCGAATTGGGTCGTGACAAAGTGCGAGCCAGCGAGTCATGCGAGCCAATGAGCGAGCCAGCGAGCCATGCGAGCCATACATTTTTAAGTTATAAAATTATAGCAGTTTATGGCCTAATAAATATAACTAGAGTTATAGGCCAAGGCTTAGGCCTAGGTTAATTTATTATTTAATTAACTGTAAAAATAATAATATTTCGTCTCCCTCGGGAC